GGAAGGAAGGAAGGAAGGAAGGAAGGAAGGAAGGAAGGAAGGAAGGAAGGAAGAAGAGAGAAAGAAAGAAAAAAGAAAAGAAAGAAGGAAGAAAGAAAGAAAGAAAGAAAGAAAGAAAGAAAGAAAGAAAGAAAAAGATAAAATAAATTAATGGCTGGAAGGAGGGAGAGAGGAGAGAAAGAGAGTAGAAAGAGAAGAGAGAGGAGAGAGAAAGAGGGGGAGAGAGAGAAGAAAGAAAGGAAGGAGGGAGGGAAGGAAGAAAGAAAGAAAGAAGGAAAAAAGGAAGGAAGAAGGAAAGGAAGGAAAAGAAGGCAGAAGAGAGAAAGAAAGAAAGAGGAGAGGGGTGGGGTGGGGAGGGAAGCTCAATCACTGCAGTCTGAAGCCACCCACCCGCCTATGAGATGGGCCCTGGGCACCACTCAGAAGTACAGGGCACTCAAGAACGGTTTTTGCCTTAGATACCTACAGCCCGAAAAGTGAAGTGAGTGGGTCAGGTTTCCAATGAGCATGAAATTGCAGTGATATCATGGCTTGTAGTGTGTCCAACTCGGGAGATGCCAGGAACGAGGACCCGAGGAATTCCAGGGGGATAGAGCGATGGCAGCTCTGAGGAGCCGGCAGCCCGAAGTCAGCACCCACGCAGTACTACCCAGCCCAAAACCTGGTCCAGATCTGCTCCCGGCTACCTTCATGAATGTGCCATGATTTTCAGCAGCAGCACTGAAATTTCCTGACTGCCTCCTGTCACCTCGCTCCCCCTAGAAGGCAGAGGATGGAGCCCCGTGGGCAGCCTTGCCACTGATGTGCTACCAAACCCAGCCATTCATTGGTTCTCTCGGAGATGCTGGAGAGGGAGGCATCATTCTTATTCCCTGGACCTCAGGGTGAAAGGGCTGACCCAGAGCTCAGGGATGGAGACAGGACGGAGGGCATGCAGAGGGAGGCAGCTTTGTGGGGCTCCGGGTCACGGGGAGATGCGGAGAGAAGCTGATGTGGTAAGTCTTTGCCCCTCTTTTTTAACTCTCAAACGAGAGAACTTGGCTACAGAGAGGTGTGGCAATTCCCTTACCTCAAACAGGAGGCAGAGGAGAGAGAGTGCGAGCAGTGGCCTCTCCCGTGGAGTCCTCATGCTGCTCCCAGCTCTCTGGCTTCACCATATCACTCCCTTCTCAGCTGGAAAGCAAGTCAGTAGAGTGTGTTTTGTGTGTGTGTGTGTGTGTGTGTGTGTGTGTGTGTGTGTGCAGCCCGCGGATGGCTCCAGTCCAGTTCTGTGGGTCTTATACTCCAAGAGCTCTGATGTCACTCATAGAGTGAAACACAAACACGAGTAGGTTTGGACGGGGCTCAGCATTCTTTCCTCCCCACATTCCAGCTGACATTTTCATTCACCTCAAGGTGAGGCCGCGTAACCCATTGAGAAGGCAGAACGGAGTCTGGAGCTGGGATGACTGGAACCCTGAGACTGAAAGCTGCCCAGCTAGCAGCTGTCTCCAGCTCCTCTCCACCCTTCAAGCCAGCAACCCCTCCCTAGGGAAGTCTGCTTTTCCTATCTGGGCATTTGAAAACCCGCAGGATCACCACCTTCCTAGGCTGTCAGAAACACCTCAGGCAAGGGACATCTCACTTTACTTCAGAGAGAAACTATATATTAATATGCAAAATAATTTTTTGAAAAATCACAGTGGGACCACGGGAAAAGCTATTCACTACACCTTAGTTTCCCCATCTGTAAAATGTGGGGATAGGATTGGAAGATTTCCAAGGTATCATCTATCTCTTCTATTCAATTCATTCATTCAACCAACTCTTATTAGGGTTAGCAAAGGAAATGGCAAAACCACTCCAGCAGCTTTGCCAAGAAAATCCCAAATGGGGTCATGAAAAGTAGGATATGACTGAAAAGACTGAAGAACAGAGCACCTGCCAAGCACCATTTTAGATGAACAGGTACACAGAAAAGGAAATACAAAATGTATACTGAATAAATACAATGTGATATGGTGAGGCAGTGGGAAGGCCAGCAGATTAACAACCGGGCCAGCGGAATCAGGATAGGTGAACTTGCTGCAGGAGATGGTAGTCGAACTAAGCCTTGAAGGGAATTAAAGGCTTTCAAAAGGTAGGGGTGAAGAGTGAGAGCATTCCAGGTGTGGGGGAGAACCTGAGGAAAAGCATCAGACCCCTTCCAGCTCTGACACTCTATATCATAAGGTCCCATCCAGTTCTGGCATTTTATGTCCAATATTCTAAGATTCCTTGTAGCTCTAACATATTATGTTACAAGGTCCCTCCCAGCTCTAACATTCTATCATCCTGTAAGTCTGTGATGAATTTTCTTTCTCCTAGCCTAGGTCAACACTCTTAGCATCAGCCAGTGTTCCCTGGTGGGGAGTTTTTAAAGCAGCCCAGAGTCATGGGATCAGAGCAAAACATCCCCTAGATTTGGCTCATTCCCCTTAGCTACCCCAGCCAGAGGGCTGAAATCTCTTTCTCTGGATCTGCTTCAAAGGCCTTATGAATACAACACACTCTGGGTTATCTAGACCATGTTGACCCAGGTATGAATGGTAAATGGACAGCCCCATTCCCTCCTATCTTGCTACTTTATAGCTTCTTAGCCTGGCTACCAGTGAAGGAGCAGGGCAAGTGAAATTCTCATCAGTCTCTTGGGATTTCTGTTGAGAAACTGTCCTGGAAGGCTTAGTGTTGGCCCAAACATGACTGGAATTCAGTTGTAAGCAGCTTGAGACCATGGCCCAGGCTTCTGTCTTCCTGAATTCTTCTTGGTGCCTAACAGGCGACAAAGATTCTGTGAGGGTTGTTTATCAAGCTTATTACCTTTCTTCGAGCAAGTCCCTTTCTCCTTCTGGGACTCAGTGTCCTAATCTGCAATATGAGGGCATTGGACTAGATGATCTGTGAGGCCCTATGATTCTATGATCACATTCAGAAGAAAAGCCTGAGGCTGGTGCTATCAATTCATGATACCGGCCTTTGCTTTACATGCTACTGGGAAAACTGAAACACAGAGAGCTCAGAGGTTGCCCAAATCATTTAGGAAAAAAATAGGGGCAGCTACATGGTGCAGTGGATAGCGCACTGGCCCTGGATTCAGAAGGACCTGAGTTCAAATCTGGCCTCAGACACATAACACTTACTAGCTATGTGACCCTGGGTGAGTCACTTAACCCCATTGCCTAGCAAAAAAAAAAAAAAAGAAAGAAAGAAAAAAAAATAGAAAGTAGGGACCCTAGATTTTTAGATCCCTATCCCCCTCCCCCTAATCTCGCAATAGCACACAACTATCCTTATATGGAAGAGAAATAATCTGTGAAGTAGCAGGGGACACTTCTTAAGGAAGAATTAACCAACCACAAACAAAACATTAAAGGATTTTAGATCTGGAAGGATAATAAGATCATAGATTTAGAGGTGGAAGGAAACTTAGAGGCAATGAGAACCACAGAGGCTGGGGACCTGCCTAAGGTCACACAGGTAGTAAGTAGCAGAGACAGTACTCAAACCCTGATCCTCTGCCAACTACTCTAGTACAAAGGGGAACTGGGAGAGAGACAGAAAGAGAGAGACAGAGAGAAACTTAACTCAAGATCACATGGTGGTAGTGGACAGAGCACTGGTCCTGGAATCAGAAGCATCTAAGTTCAAATCTGGTCTCAGATACTTACTAGCCATGCGAACCTGGGCAAGTTACTTAACCCCAATTGCCTCAATAAATGAATGAATAGATAGATAGATAGATAGATAGATAGATAGAAGATCACAAGGTGGAAGATCTGGCATTCAAACCCATTTTACCTAACTGGGCTGAGGCAATATGCAAAATCATTGCCAAATATAATCTGGCCAGTAGTTGGCTATAATCAAAATCAAGCCCAAACCATCATTTTCTAAGGAAGAAGGATATTACCCCATATTCCTTTTCCCTCATTCTTGTATTTCTTGTTCTTGTCATGTTCAACCTCTTCATTATGTAATGCACAAATTTCAGTTCAGTTTTAAAATAGCTGCCTGTCAGATTTCAGAAAAACCTGGAAAGACGTACATGAACTGATGCTAAGTGAAGTGAGCAGAAACAGGAGAATATTGTACACAGTAACAGCAACATTGTATGATGACTGACTTTGATAGATTTAGCTCTTCTCAGCAATATGATGATCTAAGACGATTCGAAAAGACTCATGATGGAAAATGCTATCCACGTCCAGAGAAAGAACTATGGAGTCTGAATGCAGAGCAAAGCATATTATTTTCTCTTTTTTGCTGTTTTTTCTTCTTTCTCATGGTTTTTTTTTCCTTTTGTCCTGATTCTTTTTTCTCAACATGACTAATGTGGAAATATGTTTAATATGATTGTACATGTATAACCTATATCAAATTGCTTGCCGTCTTGGGGAGGGGAAAGGGAGGGAGGGAGAAAAAATTTGGAATTCAAAGCCTTATAAAAGTGAATATTGAAAACTTAAAAATTAATTAATTAATTAAAGTAAAATAGCTGCCTGCACCCACATGTTCTACTTTTTATTCCGAATAACACAAATCCCAAGAGTATCTTCAATCTACTTGGAGAGCACTGAAGGGATCTTTCTGTCTCTTCTTGCTCTTTGGTCAATCCAATAGTTGAAGGAACTGGAGAAGGGAAAACTTAAAGAAGACATGATAGCTATCATCAAATCTCTGACCTATCATGAGAGGAAAGATCAGATTTGCTGTGCTTAGCCTCAGCGGGCAGAACTAGGACCAAAGAGGGAAGTTACAGGGAGGGACAGATTTTAGCTCGGTAGGAAGAACTTGGCAGTGAGAAGATCTGTCCAATGGAATGAGGTACTTTGAGAAATAGTGAGTCATCCCTTTAATGAAAGTCAACATGTAATCAACAAGCACTTATGGAGTGTTCACTATGTGCTAAGTGCTGGAAATACAAATACAAGTAGAAAGAAAGACAGTGGCTGAAGTGTCTTATATTCTAATGGGGGAGCTTACATTCTTTTTTGTTTGTTTTTGTCTAGGCAATGGGGTTAAGTGAATTGCCCAGGGTCACACAGCTAGTAAGTGTCAAGTGTCTGAGGCTGGATTTGAACTCAAGTCCTCCTGACTCCAGGGCTAGTGCTCTATCCACTGCTCCACCTAGCTGCCCTTAGAGTGCTTACATTCTAATGGGGGAAGACAACATATAAAAAAGAGCTGAAAAGAGGGTGGGGGTGGGCAGAAGATGTCTGGAGAGTCAGGAGTATAGCCTGGAGAGAAGTGGGCTTTCTCCTTAAAATGGAGGTACAGGTAGGAACCAGTCAATCAGAGGAAAAGGCCACTGGGAGAGAGAAGAGTGAAGTCTTGATTCTGAGTCCATGGCATTTGTTCTGAGGTGCAACCCAACACTGTCTTTAACTATGGCATGAGTAGCCCCAAATCTCTAGGTGGCCTGGGAACAGGAAAGCTTAGTCTGGTCCTAGAGGTGCCTGAGAGGTGTGTGTGGGGAGCACTAGAAGCTCTTGGGCAGGAAGAATCCTTTGGTGGCTTTGATAGGGCTGTCAGGGAAGCCTGAAGTCCACAAACAGTGTGACCTTGGTCACTCTGCTCAGAGAAGGGGAGGAAAGAACTGTGTGGTTTGTTGTGTGTCCTTTGTTCTCAAAGAGGAACAGGACATCAGGGAGGTGATGCTAAGATATTCAAGTGGATTGGATTTGAGTGAAGGAGGGCTGTGAAAAGTCACCAGCCTCACTTTCTCCTCCTGAGCTATCCGGGTCCAGTGGCCAGATATAGATCAGGACAATTGGAGATGGCCCAGGGTGCAGTGGAAGATCTTGGTGAAGGCGCCCCCCCCCCGCTGTCCTCCACGGGCCTGACTGCTGATGCAGTTCAAATGTGAGGACTTATCAAGTGAGTTTCCTTGAAGTGTTCAGCTTGGTTGTTGGTCCAGCCATACTGTCCCACTACTCAGTGTTCCTCACACATGGTATGTTGAATTATAGAATCATAGATTTAGAGCTGGAAAAGACTTTAGA